ATTCGTACTGATCTTTAGTATGGTCTCTTATGGTAATTTTTTGGGTACCTCCAAGTGATCCTAAAATAGAAGTAGGGAAGTTTTTGTTGTACATTAGGCTTGGCCATGTCTGTAGTGAGGGCTTGATGTTTTGAACTCTTATTCAATCTAATATAATTCAGATGAAAAAAAAAAAAAAAATTGTATCACAGATGTTTTCCAACTTTTGAATGAAATTTTTTTACATTTTGAGTTTAGTATACTTGCATCAAAATTTATTATTGTTATAATAAACTACTCATCAAATATGTATAAGTTAGCTTTCTCTACAGCTTTATTGCAATTATATTGAAGACTAACCCAAAATTGCATAATTTGATCAGAAAAAAACTACAAATCAAACAAATATTTAGTAAAACAAAAATCTTGCTAGTACAAAGCAGAAGACAATTTCATACCGAATTAAAGTTTAAGATTGAGTTAAGGAATCAAATGTAAGCAGAGTTACTAATAAAACACCTTCTGAGAATTTTAAAAAGAAGGCATTATCAGCGAAACTTGCACAATTGGTTTAGGCCTCCCATGAATCAGATAAGTACTTAATCAACTAATCTGGGATTATGAAGGCCCTTCTTCAATCTCTAATTTCTCTTCTCAATTTGCAGAGACTACCAATTAAAAAACCGTAAAACGAAACTATGAGCCTTAAAAATTTTCTAAGCATCAGAATACGAGAAAACAAAGAAGCAACATACCACTTAAAGATCTAATCGAAGAACATGAAAATACAAGAAAACAAATTGATCCACGATATGAGTCAGTCGCCGCTACGTCTTGAGGTTGAAATTGAGGCAACGATAAATATATAGATTTTTATTTTTATCAATTAGGGTTTCCGGTTTTCAATATTTTGGGCTGTTATACTTTAGTTTTGGGCTTTATTAGCCCATTTATCATTGCTATATACAATGAAGCCCAATAGATATGATTGATTATTAACTATGGGAAAACGGCCAATTCCCCCATGAAATATTGGGTTCCCGACAATTTATCCATGAACTATTAACATCGGCGAAAAACCACATGAACTACACTTAATTTTGAATTTACTACATGATCTACAAAATTATTGCCGATTTACACAAAACCATCAACGGTGTCAATTTCCCGTTAACGGATTCTGACGTGGCAAACGGGGTCTGATTCGGTTTGAGACTTGACCAAAATCAATTGTGATTCGGTTTAGACTTGACCAAAATCAATTGATTTTGGGTAATTTATTAACAGAACGTCGTCGTTTGTTTAAATTTAGGGGTGAAAAAAAAAAAAAATAGGGTTCATATCGGGTTCCCGATATCGAATCGTGAGAGATAGAGAGGAGTTTGAGGTGTTCGAATTAGGATAAAGAGATTAAGAGATAAAAAGATCGAGATATAGAGAGAAATCAGAGTTGTTTGGTGGTGCAAATCAAATCGATTCAGGGATAAATCGGCCCAAAGACGAGTTCCTCTCGCTTGTTGGGAATGAGGTAAATGGACTTTGATTTGTGATTATAAGTTTTGGTTGAGAAGTATATGTGGTTTCTTTCTAGTATGTTGGTCATTTAAAGCTTATTTGTTGCGATTTATGTCGGATTTTGATGATGATAGAGTTTGATTATAAGATGTCTACCAAGTGTTNGATAAAATGTGTGAAAGAGTTTAACTGGGTTTTCATTTTTGTTTTCATCCTTGCGTGGAGATTGGTTTGGTTAATGTCCGGTTTGCTTTGAATTTCTTCTCTCAGATTCTTGAGTAGAATCTAAAAGATACTGTACCTAGTTTTTCTATCACGTGTTCTTTATGTAGAAGAAAAGGCATTGTGTTGAATATTTAATTTCNAAACATTATGGTCCTCTGCTACTTTAATTACCAGAAATTTCAAAAAATTGTTTGTCCAACCAAATTAAACGGTACACACAAACAAAAATAATTACCAAAGTCTTTTGTGAGGAAATGAGTCAGATCATTTGGATATATATTACAGTTGATAACACTACAAAACAATTGTATTTTTTTTAATACGACGGTAAGTCTCATTTCTATAGCTGATCACTATGAAACTGGGTTTTCATTTTT